GATTAGCGCAGTGGTTTAGATATCTGGTTATGAACCAAAGGTCGGGAGTTTGACTCACAACTGTGGTTCCTGTGAGCAGAGCCAGCCTGTGTGGCCTTGGGCAAGCTGCACAGTCCCAGGGTGCCTTCCTAGAGGAAGGGGCTGATAAAACCATTTCTGAGTATTGTCTATCCGGGAAACCCTAAAAAAGGTTTGCCATAAGTCAGAATTGACCTGACAGCACATCATCATCATCATGATGATTAAAAGCTTGTTTCTCCCAACTTGTTTAAAGAAAAAAAAGCTTCAGCCGTGTGCACCATTATTAGAGAATAAGCACCAAGAAATACACTTGGTCTCAATAAACATCCTCTACATCTCAATAAACATCTTCTGGACAGCTACAATTCTAGACAAAATTCTTTTAGTGTAAGAGATTTTTATCTCAGCAGGATTTATTTTCAGGTAAGACAACACAAGAAAGCCTTCATATTTCTCTATAGTTCTGATGAAAAGTGCAAGAACTAACTGGTACATTTCAAAACAAGCACATTCAAGTGTATTTGCGAAGGCTTTCACGGCCGGGATCTAATGGTTGTTGTGGGTTTTTCGGGCTCTTTGGCCGTGTTCTGAAGGTTGCTCTTCCTAACGTTTCTCCAGTCTCTGTGGCCGGTATCTTTAGAGGACAGTCCTCTGAAAGATGCCGGCCACAGAGACTGGCAAAACGTTAGGAAGAACAACCTTCAGAACACAGCCAAAGAGCCCGAAAAACCCACAACAAACATTCAAGTGTCTTTCTCTTTATGCTATGTACTGTAATGAATAATAGAAGATCCTTAAAAGGAGGGGAAAGGATATTGGCAGCAAGACATTTCTGAAGTAAAATAGAGCTTAAGCGGCAAAAAGTCAAATAACATTAAAGAACAACACGCAAGGAACATTATTTACGTTTTGATCTTTGTAAAGGTCAAATGTTCCATTACAGAGTTCCCTAATGAAAAGAGCGGAGGAAACAAAATTAAGAATGAAAGCAACTCTTTGTTTCAGCAGCAAGGCCATCTGCTGTTCTTCCTTAGGTGGCTGTGGATACAGAGGATGTAGTTTGGGTGGTTGTTGCCTGACAACTAAAGGGTAAAATGGATGAGTAAACACAACTAGCAAATAAGATATGAAAGACAGAAAAGCTTATTTGCTGAACACAACTCCCAGCTAGATCTGAGAGTGCATATATGTTAAACAAGGACATAATGAAAATAATAGATTCAATAAATAATAACCAACACAGAAGTTCTCATCTAGCAAAACAGAGCACTACGGCAGTACAAGAACAACACTGGCCTTGTAATATAATGCAAGAGACTCCAAACTATTTTTTTCTTAAATTGTTATCCAGTATGCTCCCAGAACATATATATCTGAACTCACGTATGTTCAGAGACACACCTGTAAGGGATCTTTGAGCCATGGCAATAGTGCTTCTTGACACAGCTTGGGCTGAGTATATTACAGAGAGAGCTATTCTCAAGGGCAATTTTATTGAGCAAAAAAGAATTCAGCAGTACAATGTATAAGTATGGGGAAATACGCTCAAAAGCAAACTTGCATGGCTGAGAGGGTTCTGAGATTCAGGGCTCAATGCAAAGCTCTGCAGTATCTGAGCAGACTATTTGTAGAGGTGCTACATGGATAACAAAAGGAAATAAAGGAAGGCTATTTTCCTAACCAAATACACACACCAAGCCCTGTAGCACAATGGTTAAGTCACAGTACTGCAGCCAAGACTTTGTCCATGACCTGAGTTCGATCCTGACCGGCTCAGGTAGCCGGGTTAAGGTCAACCCAAGCCTTCCAAAGTTGGTAAAATGAGTACAGTGGTGCCTCGCATAGCGAGGTTAATCCGTTCCGGATTAACCCTCGCTATGTGAAAACATCGCTAAACAGAACATAAAAACCCATTGGAACACATTAAACATCGTTTAATGCGTTCCAATGGGCCCTAAACTTACCGTTCAGCGAAGTTTCCTCCATAGCGGCAGCCATTTTCGCGCCCTCGGTAAGCGAGGGGAGGGCGCGAAAACGCTGCGCGCAGCCATTTCGGGCGTCCAGCGGCCATTTTAGAACCGCCGAACAGCTGATCCACGGGCATCGCAAAGCAAAGATCGGTAAGCGAAACGCTTACCGATCGTCGCTATGCGAGTTTTGCCTATTGGAACGATCAGTATGCCTCCGCATTAGCGATCCCGAAAAGGGGATCGCTATGCGGATTCGTCGTTGTACGATGTGCTCGTTAAGCGAGGCACCACTGTATCTGGTTCACTGAGAAGGAAGTTGTTGTTTGCATAACTGTGTTGTAAACCACCAAGAGCATGCCCTAGCACTATAGGGCAATATATTATTCAAAGCAACCACAACACACACAGGCATACAGAGGAAAGTGAGGGTTGATTGGGGAAGCACCAATGGGAGAATACTCTCAGAAGATAGATTATAGGAGACAAAGACGACCTCTTCTTAGTCTCATTAGACTATCATGGAGCTGGGGAGTATTGGAGCTCTAGATAGAACAAAATTCACTAACAAAGATCCCAAGAGAAGGCAGGCTAAAAGAGGTCCGAGGCCAGAAAGTAGGAATCCAGGAGAGCAAAGTAAGCTAGCAGGATTTTCTGGCTAAATCCTTGATTCTGGGGACACTAAGGCAGTGATTTTAGCTGAGAAATGAAGTCAGCACAAAGAGACCTAGCAGAGTGTGAGGGTTCAAGATTAACCTCAGGCTGATTGGACACAAATACAGGATGCTCAGTTTTTTGAAAAATAAACTAGGGTTTATTGGATACATCAGTATACATCTTTGACAGTTTTTCAGGGGTCATATGCCATCTATAGAACATCTTATATATATTCTCCTTAAAATTAACCGATCTTGTGAGCTTTATGTTATTTTGCCATATTTTCAGCCATTGATCAATATCAATATTGTGCCCTATATTTTGTGCCCACTTAATCATAGGTTCTTTAACCATTTCCTCTTGCATTTGAATTTCCAACATATAATTATACATTTTCTTCACAATTTGTTCTTTTGAACCCAATAACAGTTTATCAAAGATAGTTTGTTCGAAGTAGAAACCCTCTATTTTATCTTTTGTATATCTGGATTCTAGCTGAATTCTAGGCCACCAGTCTAAATAAACATTCAAACCCCTTCTTCGCCTGTAATCAGCCTCCTCTTGAGGCACTCTTACTTTTTCACATCTCCCTGTCCAGGGATCCTCGACCCATATTAATTCCCAACCCCCCCGGTATGTTGTCTCATTCCCCTTTTATATCCCCATGTTCCGCCTCTACCAACGGTTGCTCCTTCACCCTTGTTCCTGCCTTTTCTAGACCTGTCTGAGTGGCCACCGACAGTCTCGTCAAACCCTGTTCCAAGTCACAGGTGTCTATACCGTGGTGCCTGACCGCGACGCGGGGAGCTGTAGATTCCGTTTGGGTCTCCTTTTCTCTCTTAAAGGAGGATGACACTCCGGTGAGGGCTTCAATAGCCTCGCCTCAGGTCTCACAGAGATAGATGCAGCAAGAAAATTCACCCCAGAACCAATCATATGGCTATCATGTGTCTTTTTATATGGACACTGGTCAGGCTGACTAAAGTGATCTTGCCCCTTGTTGGTCATGTGTCCACTAAACTTGTTTAGCCCTGATCTTAATTTTTGTCCGCCTGGCTAATCCAGGGACACTGGAAATAGAACGGGACATTTATTTATTTTTTAAAAATATTTATAGCCCGTCCTCTATCACAGGCTCTCAGGCAGGTTACAAAGCTGTATAAAATAATTTTAAAACATGATATTTAAAATCAAATAACACAAAAATTAAAACAATCAAACATTATAAATGCTAAAAATATTCCACTAAAACCTGCACAGGCCCTTATTCTACTAAAACCTGCACAAGGAAAAAAATCTTTACTGCCACATGTTAAATAATTTTAAAACATGATATTTAAAATCAAATAACACAAAAATTAAAACAATCAAACATTATAAATGCTAAAAATATTCCACTAAAACCTGCACAGGCCCTTATTCTACTAAAACCTGCACAAGGAAAAAAATCTTTACTGCCACATGTTAATGTCATTGTCTTTGACATGCTGTCTAAATTAGTAGAATTCATATAATTCTATTAATTTAGACAGTATATCAAAGAGGAACAAAAGAAAAGGGCAGGTCCCTATCACAAAGAAGTTACAAGTACTACCATGTTTCCCTGAAAATAAGAGAGTCTTATATTAATTTTTGCTCCAAAAAACATTAGGGCTTATTTTCAGGGGATTTTTTTTCCCATGTACAACCCTCTACATTTATTCAAATACAGTCATGTCATCTTCTTCTGGTTGCTGCACAATGGAGGAGGGTGGGGTTTCACTTAACTAGGGCTTATTTTGGGGGTAGGGCTTATATTAGGAGCATCCTGAAAAATCATACTAGGGCTTATTTTCAGAGTATATATCAGCCTTCTGAAAGACTTGAGTAGGACGAAAGGATTTTTGTTGATTGGAAATTATACCGAGACAACCTACATCATAAGGACAAAAGTCTTTATGGAATACCAAATACAGTAAAGGTAAAAAAATTATGACACATCCCATGGGAGGCCACACTTGTTTTACTAACGTCACGAAGATGGGGTTTCCCGTGTATGCAGTTTGCCCCTCAGTTCAATCATATGTGCTTATTTTGTTTCTTCCTTGCCTTACTCAAAAGCTGAAAACCGATACATAGCCATGTCTCTGTTAATATCACCAGACACCAGGAAACTAATTGGATAACGTTATTACGGGTTTCATCAACTCGGGAAGCCCAGCTTTCCCTGCAATACTCCCCAACCCATTCGATCAGCTCTCCCTCTCACACCTACTCAGCCTTTTCACGTGTACAAACCGAAGACCAGGCTTGTTACAACCCCGCAGTAGCCTCGCAATAACGACCAAGCACGCATGCGCACGCTGAGGAGCGTCAAGGCCTCATGTTGCCGCTCTTCCCGGGGAGGCGCTGTCCCGGCAAGACTCCGTCTTCTGATCGAAGGCTCGGGGATCGACTGCCTTTCCTTCGCCAAAGAGGAAAGGAAGTGTCCGAGTCCAAATCTGTTGCTTGCCGAGCGACTCATTCCCATTTTGAAACTCATCTTCCGTGGTCGCGCTGGTGCCCGAGAGCCGCGGAGATGGTGAGGGACGCGGGAACGGGGCTGGGGGGCGTCTAGGCGGGAGGGAAGGAGAACGAAGGCCCTCCGGGACAAGGAGTGCGGAGGCCGCACCTTTCTGGCACGAATAGGTCGGGGTGAGTCAGCAGCCGCCGAGTGATGGCGGGTCTGCGGCCCGGGTAGTGCTGCTTCTCCCGCATCGCTGTAGGAGGGGACGAAACCCCGGCATATTCCCCGAGGTTTCCCGCCCGCCTCCTACTCTTTTCACCTCCCCCATTAATCGATCTTGGGTTATTCCCACGAGCACCACCAGTTCCTTTATTTCACCCGTATGATTCAGCGTGTTTTTTTTCTACTTTGAACTGGGAGATGAAAAATAGCTTTTGTCTCAATATGATTTACAGCGATTCTTACTGAACCTGGTGCACTTGGGGGGGGGGAGATCGGATTTACTGTTGCTCCTGGTGCAAACAATGTAACTGTTTTGTCAAATCTTTATTTTGGAAAGTAATCGCCGTTTTATTTAAAAAAACGCAGACGTTACTTAATTTCTCAGAGTTTGCAATAAATAAGGAGATGTGACACCTGTTTAATAAGCATGGAGCTTAATTCTAATAAAAAACCATGTTAAGTCCTAGAACTAGTAGATCCCACTGTGAACGGATCAATCTGAAACTGAAACCGAAACTCTTGGAGTAGAACCGTAGTTTTAATTTCAAAGGTTCAGCACAGAACAGGACACTATCGGGAAGTTATTTTTGAGCTGTATGTTTAGAATTGGCTTTTTAGTCACTAATTAACAAGGTTCCTCTCAAAAGTTTCCCTTGCACCCTTGATTCATAGTAATGAGACTTGTCTTAATGTCCACGCTACAGCATTTGTCAACAGCTGCTTTGAGTAATTCTAGCCTAATCCTTCCCAGACCATTCTCTTTTGCCTAGTTCATTTTGCTTTTTCATTACATAATACTACACTTGTTAATGGATTATTTTTGTTCATTTTAGTTTCGCAACCAGTATGACAACGATGTTACTGTTTGGAGTCCTCAGGTATTGTCTTGATTCATTTTGTTACTGACTTCTTTTTCTCTCTCCTCATCATTGTGAAAAAAGCATCGAAGGATTTGTATTACATTTTGGTGGAGAGTTCCACATTTTAGTTGTGGAAAACATTGCAGATATGTAATGACTCTGATACTTTTTCTATTGTTGCTTTTTAAAACATTTTGAAGTACTGTATAAGTGCATACTTGCCAAAGGGCTTTTGCTTAAATTACATTGGCATTAAGGGTGATGATGCTGCCAGTTAGCGTTCCTGTTTTCTGAGGGTCGCATGACTCACACAATCAATCTTATTCTGCACAAATCTTGTGAGCCCCAGGATGGAAACAGGACATTTTAAGTTGCACCTTTGCTAGTGACATTGTCGCCGTATGCCAGCATAATAGACTCAGCCGGATTTTCGTTTCTGTGTCTTTCCAGCAGTATTAATTATTGTTTAATACATTGCTTGTATGTGAACAAAAGTGATTGTTCCCAAATTGAGGGCAGTTCAGCAGGCTTTATTTACTAGCTTGTAAAGTTCAAGGGGTTTTGCTGATCAGTATTCATATAATAGCAACAATGTGGTTAGCACTGTCTTGCTGCTTTTAACATAATAGAACCCTTTACTTCCATTGGCTCTTAATTTCTGAAACAATATAGGACATGTACTTGCAATCAAAGGTGTGTGGTAGGTTACAGTAGGTGGATGTTAGCAGAAGAGTGTGATACTGGAAGTCTGAATCAAAGCTGAGAACCAGTGGCCCTCCAGATGTTGTTGAATCCCAGTTCCTATCTGCCTTAGTCAGCTTGGCCAAGGTAAGGGATTGTCTTTTTGGATTATAGTTCATCAGCATCTGGAAGGTTGACTTGCATCTAAATGCAAGTCAAAATGCAACGATGAACTGCATTAATTCAACAAAGAGTCTTGTGGCACCTTAAAAACCAATATATTTTGTTTGGTGTAACCTTTTGGGGACTTCAGTTTTTCTCTTCAGATTCATGTCTGTATGCCAAATAAGTTTCTAAAAGAAGATGGCTCATTATAGCAAGATGGTATGCCTTTGGATTCTTGCTCTCTTTCATACATATGCACAAATATAACTTTATAACAACTAATGGTGATAAGGAAGTTGTTTTTTTTAAAATTTATTTTATTAAATTTATATCCTGCCCATCTAGACCAAAAGTCTACTTTGGGCGGCAGAGTAGACCTTTGCTTAGGTCTACTCCAAGGTCTTACTATCATCCTTTTTATTAGTGTGCCCTCAAATGCTTGGTGCGCACAACTGTAAATTTGTAATTATATGTACCTTTTCACTGTTCTGTAATAAATTTGTAAGGCTTTTATGGGTATACTTTGTTCACTGGAGACAGCATTGGATGTTGACATCTGAAGAAAGTTATTTGTTGCAAAGAAAGTGGAAACTTGAAAATTCTATTATTTATTCATTTTTTTTAGAAAGCATAATTATTACAAGATAGTCAACATGTAGATTTAACATATTTTTAAAAAACTGTTTAAAAAAGACTGGGATTTCTTGACAGGGTCGAATTCACCAAATAGAATATGCAATGGAAGCTGTGAAACAAGGCTCTGCAACTGTTGGGCTGAAGTCAAAAACTCATGCCGTACTTGTTGCCTTAAAGGTAAGTTCTGAAGTTTTTTATTAAGAAATTCAAAACATAGTGCATGTCAGTGGAGGGAGAATTATTGTGTGGACAAATGATAGGTCATATATTTTGTGCATTCGCAAATATATTCAAATATGATGGTAAAAGTTTAGGGGGTTGCGTTCACTGTTGTGAAATATGATTTACTCTAAGTGCTTTACAAATTAATATGAAAAAACGGTTGTTTCAAGTGCTAAATAAGCTACGCAAATTGTGTTAGGATAAAACTGGGGAAAAGTGAGACAGGAATCCAACAATTAAAGTGATCAGGCTTTAGTTCTGTATAGCATGATTGTAACTTAGTTGACAGTAAAATTATATTTATAATACAAATGAACTGAGATACAAAGAGACGAAAGCTAGATGAAAGTAACCATCCCGATTAATATAAACAGCAGTGCAAAGCACGATACAAATGGGACTTTGAGTGAAGAGTGTCTTGATTTCAATCTAGCTAAATGGGTCCTAGACAGCTGGGGTACAAATCATCTACCCAGCACACCACTAAATTATTACTGATCTGAGAAGACACTAGCTAAAATCCTGTTCCTTATCGTAAGCCAAATTGTAACTTTTGGCCTATTCTGCCCTGGAAAGCAAAGTGTCTCCCCCCATGATTCTCAGGGTACATGCACCAAGCCAGCATGTGTATCAACCTCCATGAATTGTGGCAAGATTGGTTGTTTGTGGGGGGGGGGGGAATGGACCAATTTTGCTTATGCTAAGCAACAGGATTTCAGCCAGTATTACGCAGTAATATATAGTCTGATAGAATAAGACAGTTTCATGTGTTCATACATTAGGTGACTCAATCCATAAATTAGTGGAAGGACTGCTCTAGACTAATGCTGTAGACTGTAAATGTTTAAACACTTTGAATTAATAACCTTTTTCATAAGTATATGATGAACAGAATCATTTTTGTGTATTTAGAGAGCACAATCTGAACTAGCAGCTCATCAGAAAAAGATTCTGTATGTTGACAACCATATTGGTATTTCCATTGCTGGACTTACTGCTGATGCAAGACTCCTATGGTAAATATGCAATCCCATTTATTTTCGGTGATGTTAACATAAATACATGTTAGTACAATACAACACTACAAATGCACGTGAGATTAGAACCAGTCTACAGACATGATAAAAGGGCCTGTATCTAGTCCACTATCTTTGTCCCCAAGTGGAATATTTTATGAGAAGTATTAATTGTCATTATTAACATTAATGTACTCTACCAAGCCCTTGATGCTAAATAGAACTCCAAATGGCACAACAGTCTGAGTCTAAGAAGATGTATTTTGTTTATGCCATTCATCCCATTTTTTTGTATTTCCATAAAATTTAGTTAGCATTTTATCCACTTAATTAACCAGCTAGTAGTTGAACTGTCACACATAGTGACAGACTGTATGTTGCTTGCTATATTATATCCTGCATGTTTTGCTGTAATCTATGTGATAGGCAGGACACAGGTGTGGTTTTTTAAATAAGTGTGTACAAATTACAAAGCAGGGCTTGGCCTTAACAACCTTATTGCAGATCCACATTCAGCACTTTCTACTGGTTTATGTTTGGCTAAAAAATACTGTCTCAAATATGATAAATCCATTTTTTTGCTTCCAGTAATTATTCATAAACCCCACTTCAAATGTTCAAAGCACTTGTCTCCTCCCCTTACCACACCATATCTGTAGCCTTTACAATAACCCTGTAAGACGGATAGGAAATCTTTAGGGGTTTGGGTGCATCCTCCTATCTCTGGAGGGTTGCTACCACACTTCTCCAACAAACAATAGTTTGTTGTTTGTCCGAAAGAATAATTCATACCTATAGAGATTCAAGTGGGTTTGCCACAGTTACAGTGGGTGAAGCCAGACGCAGCAACCCCCTCCACGTATTTGTTCTAAGTGTGCTGTACTAAAAGTCATCATCAGTAATTTCACACCTGAGGTGAGATTTGTCTGGTTGCATAGTCATGACTTTGAAAGAATCATCATGGGAAAGATTGAAGGTATGTGTGGAAGGAAATCACAGAGAATGTCAACTACTAACTTTCGTTGTTGTTTTCATTTTGCAGCAATTTCATGCGTCAGGAGTGTCTGGATTCTAGATTTGTATTTGACAGACCTCTTCCAGTGTCTCGCCTAGTATCTCTGATTGGAAGCAGTATCCTTTTTTTGTGTCTGATGAATGTCCTGGCATATTCAGAACTGGCAAGGTGATACTGGACAGTAAAGCAAAATTATTGCTGTGGACTAATCTTGAGTGATCATTTAGTATCATGGGTAGATTTCATTTCCTTCCTGATGCTTGCAAATCAATCTCTTGCACAGTCAGCTGAGCTTTTTTGTAGCTTATGCAAGGTACTATTCACTACGATTGCAAAAACAGAAGCCATTTTGCCTTAAACACTGTGATCTCTACTTATGCTATGGCAAACTGTATCTTCTCTGCAGAAGCTTTATCATATTTCTATCCCACCTGTCTAGTTACAGAGCACTGCTCTTGGCCACTAACAGTTGTAGAGTGATAGTTCTGCTTGTTCCTAAGAGAAAACTGGTTGTTTTTTGGGGGGAAATGGAACTCAATATTTATTGTGCATTTGGTTATCCTCAGTTCCCTCTGTGTTTTTCTGGCACTGTTTTGAATCTTTCTGCTAGTGCTGTTTTAACAACTCTATTTTAACTATTGTTTATCTTTGTGTTCATTATATTGATACAGTGGGGTCTTGACTTGAGAACTTAATCCGTATTGGAAGGCGGTTCTCAAGTCAAAAAGTCTGTAAGTCAAGTCTCCATTGACCTACAGTGCATTGAAAACTGATTAATCCCGTAACAGGCCGTTTTTGTTCCATTTTGGTTTTTTTCTGGTCTGTAAGTCAAATCTCAGTCTGCAAGTCAAACCTAAATTTTGCGGCCAGAGAAATCTGTAACTCAAAAAGTCTGTAAGTCAAGCCGTCTGTAAGTCAAGGGTCCACTGTACACTGTTCTAGAGTCCCTTTTTTGGCTAAAAGATGTTGTAGTAATCTTTTTATAAATCTGTAAAAACATAGTTGTGTGATTCAGACATATGAGACAGATTCCTTAGCTTGTTCAAGAAACACAGATACCAACACAACGATATGGCAGAAGACCATATGGTGTGGGACTTCTCATTGCAGGCTATGATGTAAGTGTATGTGTGGCTTTTCACTCATTTTGTAAAATACAGTCTACTGGAGGATATGTTGGTGTGTGTATTCTCTGATGATCTTCCATTCCAACATGTCTCTGAAGAAGGCAATTCAAATTCTTACTGCTAGTTATGAAACAATGTAAATTCCAAATACAGTGGTGCCCCGCATAGCGACATTAATCCGTTCCGGGATTAACGTCGCTATCCAGAAACATCGCTATACGGAACGTAAAACCCCATAGGAACGCATTAACTCCATTTAATGCGTTCCTATGGGGGGAAACTCACCAGTAAGCGAAGATTCCCCATCCGGCTGCCATTTTTGCCACCTCGGTAAGCGAGGGAAGGGCGCGAAAACGCTGCGGGCGGCCATTTTCTGCACCCAGTGGCCATTTTGGAACCACCGATCAGCTGTTTCCCTAACATCGCAATGCGAAGATCGGTAAGGGAAACACTTACCAATCATCGCAATGTGATGTTTTGCCACCTAAAACATTGCAATGCGATCGCATTAGCGATCGCAAAAAACGCGTCGCTATGCGGATTCGTCGTTAAACGGTGCGCTCGTTAAGCGAGGCACCACTGTATTGTAAATTCAGCAGCACTAAATATAGTGTACTATATAAAACTTGATAGATTTGCATGCACGCTGCTGACTGTAAAAACAAAACAAAAAAGCAGTGGCAGTACCTACATGAGCTCTAGTATTCTTCCTTTAAAAATAAGGTAAAATAAGTGACAATTTCTCCCTTTAGGATATGGGTCCTCACATCTTCCAGACCTGCCCTTCTGCAAATTATTTTGATTGCAAAGCCATGTCCATTGGTGCAAGGTCCCAGTCAGCTCGAACTTATTTGGAGCGACATATGACTGAATTTGCCGACTGTAAGTAGTGGATCTTCTCTCTTTGATCATAGTATACTGTTTTTCACTTTTTGCTGTTCTCTCTTGCATGAGAGTGGGTGGATTTTGATTGTTTATGCCTGGACAGATATCTGGCTACCATTTGACTGCATTTGATGGAGAGAGTGTTTTGCAATAGGCCTTTCTCCAAAGAAGTACAGTGTTTCCAGATTGATCATAAGTATTTATAATTTTCAGGTAACCTGAATGAGCTCGTTAAACATGGATTGCGTGCTTTGAGGGAGACACTTCCTGCTGAACAGGATCTCACCACTAAGGCAAGTGCTTCTTTGCAGTCAGTTCTGATTTAAACGTGATTAACAGTAGCTCTTTGTAGTAAGAAATGGGGTTGAATCTTTGTTTTAGTTAAGTAGCAGCTAACACTCATCGCTGAATATTTTTACATAAAAATGTTTCAGATATTGCATGAAGAAACCAGTAAATGTTAGACAAAAAACATCTAAATTGCCAGTCCTCTGTAATGTCAAGGATACACAGAGTCGGATAGGATGCTGACTAAGGTCAAACTCCTTTGCTCAGTTACTTCTGACCCAGTCCACATCTTGTACTAATACTGCCCGAATGCTTACCTCCTACACAGTATAAAGAATCTAAGCAGCCTGGCTATGTTTCAGTAACACATCTGTTCATAATTTTATATGTTATGAAAACACACCAGAAACTATGCACACCTTCTTGTAAAAACACTTCTCACAGTAGTTCAAAAATATATTCAACATTGTTTTGATTGAGAACCATGTCAGAGACAATTGCAAGCATAATAATTCCATTTATCAGAGTCGTAAGATTGGGTGAGCTGGCACAAGTACATATATGTGATGTTCGAGTTTCTGGCAAACAGTGTTTGAACAGCTCTTAAAAGTTCTTAGATCAGACGAGCCTTTTAAACCTATACAAGTAAAATGCTGATTATAACTCTTAAAAGCTCTGTGTGCTCTCAAAGACTGGTGTACCTAAGGGATTGTCTTGTCCACTCCTTTTGCCTCTTTTTCCTAGCCTGAAATTTACAGAAGTCAAAGTGGAAAAAGCACAGGGCATGCCTCTCTCGTAGTCTCCACATTTTTTTTTTCCAATTGAAGGCTTGCTTCTGCTGATTTAGAGTGGTCGCAATGACCAGATAGGTGGGGTATAAATGAAATAAATAAATAAATGATTTCCCCATTAAAAATGTGACTTAATCAGAACTCATGTCTAGATGTTTGACAGAGCATGCTCACTTTTATCTGTATGCAATTTTAACGGGTTGCATCCTAGCTTTTCAGACTGTCATGTTTTGACTGCATGCGGTCTCGTGCCTTTCACGGCAGAGAAGCAGTATTTGCTACTCAAAATATACAAACTCTGAGATACGGAACACTGCTTACAACATATCAAGAACTTTATATAGTACGCATTAGTCCAGTGTTTGTTTACTCAGCATGAGTATTGTCAAGATAATTTTTGTTTTTTCTGAATCTCCCATTGAGAGTTATGGAATACCATGAATTTCCAGTTTAAATAATCTCTGACAGAAGGCCATCAAATTTAGTGAAGCTTGCAGATATGGAATACCATGAATGTTGTGTGCCGCTTATTGGAGAGATTTAATAAACAGCAAACATAGAAATTACAATAACATGAGTAATTCCTCAGTTTTACCATTTTCATTCAACAGAATGTTTCTATTGGGATTGTTGGGAAAGATATGGAGTTTACAATTTATGACGATGATGATGTAGCACCATTCTTAGAAGGCCTTGAGGAGAGACCACAGAGAAAGGTATGTACATTTAATGCATTCACATTTTGTAGACTTTCTTATTTTACCTTTCCTTTGTTTACCTCTTCCTTTTCTGACCGTTATTTATTTAGCCTGACTTGCAATGACCCTTTCCGTGTGCCCAGATCTTCCTTAGAAGCCTTCTTGGAGGCTGCCTCACCCCACCTGTAGAGATTAAATGCCAACCCGTCTGTCAAATGCTTTCCCCAGTGTAGGGTAGTTGTTGAAAGGCCTGCTCTGACGAAGTCATCTTTTTAAAATCTAAACTTTTTACCCGATCTATTTTTTTAAGCTCTGTAGAAACGTAAAATGTACAGTCTGATAAATAATAAATAAAAGAGTTTCCAAATATGATTTTTAAGTTATAAGATTTAACTTTTGCATTTAAAGCAGGCACTGTACTATTAGGCCAGTGAACTAACTGGAAGTATACGAAAGTAACCCTGACTTCCAGGCTTATGGAATTTCCTTCCACAGGAGGTTAGGATGATCCCTTCCCTACTGCTGTCTCTCCACCAACACAGAAACACCCTTCTCTTCAAGCAGGCCTTTGGCAATTGAATGAGCTGCAAAGAGAGAGAAAATGAAAGCAGTGATGCTGCATTTCTCTCACTCAGTCACTCTCTGGTCTGTTTCTAAAGTGGAGTATGGCTTTTTCCTCCTCATTTCTTAAAGATTTGAGATGAAGATCTTTTCAAAAATATTATTTAATTGTATTTTAGTACCATTACTCTTATGTTTTTTGTAGTACTGGTTTTTAAAAGTCATTTTGCTAGCTGCTGTGGGCATTGGGAGACAGGTGGATTATAAATAAAACAAATCATTTCGGGGGGGGGCGAAGATAGCAAAGAATCTTTCTGCTCTGGTTGCATGAGAATATTAGTGTAAAAAGTTGGGATATTGAACACAAGGTCTTATCCTCACCATATGAGCCTGAAATTGAATATTGGTAAGTTTAGGTATTTCTTAGTAGGATTTGTTTTGTAACTTACTTTCAGTGATTTTTAAAACAGACTTCACTCCTGCTTATTGTTACCTATTTACAATTTCCTTTCCTTTTTTTTATTCTTTCAAGCCTGCTCAGCCTGCTGAGGATACAGCAGAAAAGGCCGAAGAACCCATGGAGCACTAATTATTGTACATGAAGCACAGGTTACTTCAGATGCATCATTGCCGAGGCATTATCTTGCAGTCTGGTAACTTACTGCTGAAAAATGCATATTGTAGTGACATACATGTCCTGTTAAGTCGGTCTTTAAAATGTATTGCCAAAAATCTCAAACTGGCAGCAAAGATTTAAAAACTGACTATTTCTTTTGAGAAGAAAAGATGTCATTTTCTAGCAAAGAATGCAATATTGTTTTATATGAAAAAGCATGTTGCTTTTATCTCATTAAGGCATCTATGAAATAAACCAGTTTCTTTCCTGAAACATCTTGTTTTTATTTTTTTTTCCTATTAGTACAACATTTAATAACAACTCAATCTGCTTGTTGTTGAGGTGCCTAATCTATCGCTTTTAAAACACTGTACTGGTTTCCTTACATCAGATTACATTATCCCTACTGTAAGATTAATCAGAAGTCACTCAGAAAAAAAATGCATAATAAGGTAAGAGTGTAAAGAACTTCACATGAGGGAAGTTTCACATCACTTCTCCACTTGGCCACCACACACTAAAATCTCTGCAGTGGGACAACAGACATTTCTGAACAGGGCAGGGCAGCAAACGTCTGTACCCAATTTGGACTATTTTCTGTCTGAGTGTCTCTCCCATCTCATACTGGTCAGAAAGGTCCTCAGCCCTTAGGTTTTGCGGGGTGGGGGGGAGTGTAGGTGACCAAAAGAAAAATGGAATCATGTTCTTCTGTGAACTTCCTTAAACTGATTATATTTAGTTTGAAACCATAATTTGGACTGTGTTCTTTCCAATTAATCCATTCTCTCCAAGTATCAAATAGAGAAACAGTGAATACAAAAAGCTCAACGAATAAAACATGGTGTATCTGTTGTGAGGCAAACAGTCTTAAAGGGATACTATGATGCTTGTGCTTTGCTGTTTATTTATTTGTTACATGTATATTGTTCCTTTCCTTCAAAGAGTTAAAGTCAGTATACATGGCTCCCCAACTCATCCTTATAAGAAGCCTGTGAGGTAGGCCAGCTGAAAATGTAACTGGCCCACAGTCCTTCAAAGCCAAGTAGAGACTTGACTGGGCCTCCAGAGTTCCAATCCAAGACTCTTAACTACAGTGGTGCCCCGCAAGACAATGATAATGCATTCCATTGAAATCGCTGTTTAGCGAAATCGTCTTGTGAAAAGCCTTTCCCCATTGGAATGCATTGAAACCTGTTTAATGCGTTCCAATGGGGAAAATAGTCATCATCCAGCGAAGATCGCCCATACGGAAGCCATTTTAAATCACTGTCTTGCAAAAGAAAACACCCTAGGGAAGCCATTTTGCAGAGACGCCGATCAGCTGTTGATTGTCCCCTTGCTAAGCATTGGTCCAGAAAAGAAAGCATCTGGGGAAGCATGGAACGAAACGTCGTCCAGCGAAATTCCCCCATAGGAATCACTGTTTTGTGAAGCGCAAAACCTCATCATGTGGATTCATCGTTTTGCGGGGTTATCGTTTTGCGAGGTACCACTACTAGTAATTACAGAACACTAGTAATCTCTTATAGGAAAGATATTATGTTTTCTCAGTAGCTAGGTCACATTTGGTTTCCAATAAACTTATTTTCTCTCATGACTAGAGTAGCTATTAGAAGCTAACCATTCTCCTATCCATCTAGCAGCTACATAATTGGTTTGATAAATCCTTTAATACTATTTATTTATTTATTTATTTATTTATTTATTTATTTATTTATTTATTTATTTATTGTACTTGTATACCGCCCCATAGTGCTACAAGCACTCTCCGGGCGGTTTACAATTTTTTTTTAATTATACAGGCTACACATTGCCCCCCCAGCAAGCTGGGTACTCATTTTACCGAACTCGAAGGATGGAAGGCTGAGTCAACCTTGAGCCGGCTACCTGGGATTTGAACCCCAGGTCGTGAGCACAGTTTTAGCTGCAGTACAGCGTTTTAACCACTCCGCCACTATGCTTCCAAGTTTTTAACAATGCTGAAGGATATTTCCTTTTAAAAAAACTCTGAGGGCTACAATACAAATATAGTGGTGCCTCGCTTAACGAGTGCACCGTATAACGACGAAATCGCATAGCGATCTCTTTTTTGAGATCGCTAATGCAATCGCTTACCGATGGCCTCTATGCCCAAAATTCGCATTGCGAAGATCGGTAAGCGTTTTGCTTACCGATCTTCGCATTGCAACGTCAGGAAATCAGCTGTTCGGCAGCTTCAAAATGGCTGCCGGATGACCCAAAATGGCCGTCGCAACAATTTTCGCGCCCTGCCCTCGCTTACCAAGAGCGCGAAAATGGCGGCTCTATGAGGGAACTTCACTTAACAGTGAGAATAGAAGCCACTGGAATGCATTAAACTGTTTAATGCGTTCCAATGGCATTTTGCGTCCTGTTTAGCGATGTTTCCTCATAGCGAGGGTTAATCCGGGTGCAGGCACCAGTCTTAGAGAATCCTACCTGATTTCTATGGAAAGTCTGAAGGAAGTACAAATGAGTAGGCGCAATAAAGAGAAATTAGTACACTTGAATTGCATTGAAACCATTAATTCTAACCTAGTGCTCTTTACTCACTAATGTCAATGGGACACAGACCATTACCAGTCTGTCCAGTTTATGTTCAGTGGCTTTGATCCAGACCAGTACACTTGGAAATAAGTTCAGTAGAGTTTACCCGTAGGTTAAGCGTTTAGATTAAGTTTTAGTTAGAGCTGATGAATTCCGTGGGACTTTCCATCAAGTTGCAGCTAGTGCCATTCTTGCAATCACTGGTAGCAAATGAAATCTTTCTCTCTGCCTAAGTTTTTCAAGCTGGTAAGTGCCCTACTCTATTTTAAAGTCTTCTCATTCTCTTTTATTATTGTACGTAACAGTTTCATTCTATTTGTTTTGTCACTTTTAATTTTTTTGGTCTTGGTGTATGTATTCATATAACAGCAGATACCCATTTTCCTTAAAATGCAGAATTGAGCATGTGTATTTAAACAAGAGATACTTTTCTCTCATCTGTGAGGAAAGTGACTTTTATAAATTGAAATGCCATCTCTGCTAATTCTAATGTTATGATACAACTTTAGTAGCACCATCATGTTTCCCCTTTTTAAAAATCCAGTGATTTCTTAAAGGATGCACTTCCTGCAAATGGGAGTGGTTGAAGGATCTACTATGGTAGAGAAGATGAGGCACTGAACAGTGGAAGGGAAATGGAGTGAGAATGTCCTCTTCTTCCCCACTTATCACTGACAGGAATGCCCACTAGCCCACAACCTGCACTTTCCCTTCTACGTATTTCCTTGACCATTTTCATATACACATATTTATTACAGAGTTATACAAAATAGCAGACAACAACGTGGGAAGCCAAGTTGGTATGAATTAAATTAAACTTCGGGTGTATCTATTTGTTTTAAGTAAGAACATTTTCTGCCTCTGTTGAAAAGGAAATGGTAATAATGATTAGCATCCTCTAAATTTTTATGGACTACTGCAGCAAAACTAGGAAATAATTTGAATAAGGTATTATCTTCTACATGCATTCAGAAATAATCTCATTGTGCTCAGTGGGGCTTATGAGTGTACTTGGAATCACATCCTCATCTTGTTAACCACAGCAAAGACATTATGCATAATTAGTAGATTCAATGGAACCTCCTCCCACACCACAGAATTGTAGAGTTAGAAGAGACTGGAAAGGTAATCAAGTCCAACTCCATGCTGAAAAAATAAATTTACAGTTTCAGTAATATCTGACAGAAGGCCAATCTAACCTCTTTTTAAAAACCTCCAAAGAAGAAAAATCCAACCAAAATCTATACAATTTATATGCAATGGCTGCCATGTTAAACCCAGTGACTAGATTTTTAAAGCCATCAAATTTAATGAAGCTTACAGATTATTAAAAAACCTTAGTACTATGCTCTCACCATACAGTTAGAAATACAAACAGGAAAAATTTGTTATAATGAGAGGACTTGCATGGTTAGCAGTACTTCAACTGTTACCACTCCAAAGGAATATGTTTACTTGATTCAAGTAGTTTCAAGCTTCCTCGTGCAATGTACATAGTGCACCATAACTCACAGCATAAAGCTCGTACCTTGCCATCTAGATTGTATTTTTCAGTAAGTCTTGTGGTGTGCACTGACTTCAATAATCTCAAATAATTTTTGCTTCTAGAGGTAGTTCATCCTTAATCTGACCTGGAACCCACTTACTTGTCCCTTGTAGGCAGTCAATTATTAAGAAGAAGCCTGCCTGAAGAGAAAGGTCTTGCTTGCTTGTAGAAGGACAATAAAGAGAGAGCCAGCTTGGCCTTCCACAAAGAGGAGTCCCATAGCTTGGGAGGAGTGAGAAAAGATCCTCTTTCATGTCCTCACTAAATGTTCATGTGAGGGTGTCAGAACAAAGGCCACTTCTGATTATTTAAAAACCTGGACAGGCTGATAAAGGGAGATGCAGGTAACGTTCAGATAATTTGGGCTTAAGTCAAAGTTTTGTCCATTTAAACTTCAACTGTAGCATTGCTTTTCCATATTTTTCAATCAGATACAGCAGTTGTTTCTACTAGCTGGCTGTCACTAATATGGCATCGTCTCCATAACTTAAAGTATTTATGTTTCTTCCACCAGTTTTCACTGCTGCTGCTTCTGAATTTAATACTGTACAGCTTTTTGTATGATGTTCTGCACAGAGATTTACTAGAAGAGATAAAATACATCCAACATTTTTGTCAATGGAAAACACCCTGTTTCTCCATATTCTGTGCTAACAATCGTTTCTTGTCCAGAATATAGGTTATATATCAGGAGAATAAGTGTGATTTATTGTTTTACTCTATTTCTTTTAGAGCATTCCCCAGATTTTCATGTTCCACACAGTCAAATGGTTTGCAAAGTAGATGATTTTCCCTTTATTTGTTGGCCTCTTTTCAGGATTTTGATAGATTCAGTCTCTGCAGCTTGAAATATCTCTATTCGTATCCCATCCACTCCTAGTCATTTACTGTATTTCTACCAATTACCTCACTTTTAAAAATGTATTTCTACCAATTGCTTCACTTTTTAAAATCAAGATCCTTGTTTCCATCTTCACTTTATTTTTTCCTGATTGGATAATATATTTTTCTGATGATCTGTCAGGATCCCTAATTTTGTTTTAAATTTTGTTTTTATTTCTTGGATAAGAAGCAAAGATATCTTTTGTTTTTGTTTTTCTTTCTGGTTGTTCTCTCCGGTTTCTTTGAACGGGTTATTGTAATAGCTACTTTTGACCCTATG